ATGTATTAGCCCCCGCAGGACGTTTCAACTACATCTATGAAATTTGGTAGGCATATGTAGCACTTCAGGGCGCACAAAAAAAGCCTCTTGGACCCTCACTGTAAACTCAACAGGAAGTTCAACATTTTGAATTAACTGTGCGATTTTTCATTCTTTTCATTCTTCATATTCAAGAGCAACTCCTCCCAGGGGGTAACATCTACTCGCCTCAAATTCAGCCAGCGCATACAACAAGCCTTGCTGATTAAAATTTATCAAAACGCTCTGCATAAGTCTACAGGCGTGGCAATGGTGGCCCTCTTAATTCATTAATCATCATTCGCCATCAAAGAGGAAGCGTGTCTAACAACCCTGTACGAGCTCCAATCTGCCTACAGTCCTGCCCTAATGAATGCCAATATCCATTCACAGTCATTGCGCCACCTGCTGCCAACAGGAAACAATAGTTTTACATTTTAAAATACTCTTATTCACCGGTTGACCATTTTAACTTCAAATGCGGTGACGCAAACCTTAAGACATTGACAGTGGTGAAAATTCTGAGGTTTCATCAAAGGTCCATGACCGAGTCCGTGTCTGCCCTCTGAACTTTGATGCTTTACCTGTCTCCTTGCCCTCTGCATGCTGCACTCTGCCTCAAACTTTACATGTTGGATCAGAGTCCTGCCCTGATGACACCCATATGTCAATATCCATTCACAGTCATAGCGCCACCTGCTGGCAACAGGAAAGGACAGGTTTTACACTTGTATTTGGTTAGGGTTATAGCTAGGTGATTGTAACTTTGCCCAGAGCACATTTCTGCCACAACCCCGACATGCACCGCACCTCGATGAGCGCCATACCTGACATGCATGGAAGTCCGAGGGCCCATTCTGCTTGCAGCTTTAATTTATAACTAAATAAAATTAGTGCTTTTGCTCTTAGTGCAACTGTCTCTCTTTGGATCCTGCTGCTGTCTGATGCTGCAGGTATTTATTAAACCTAAAGGAAAGACTCCTAACAGCTGAAACTAAATCCTGATTCTGTGACAGTCCACCTGTCTGATTTGAAAAGAAGCGCAGAATGTCAAAGTTAAAGTAAAATAAAAGGGCATAAAACATGATACTGACCAAAAAAATCTGAATAAAAGTAATCAAATAATATGAATACACTCAGAAGAAAGACTTTCTCTGTCAAGTCTTTGGACAAATATTATTACTGAAATGTAGAGAAAACCTTCCTCTAATCATGAGCATTTAAAGCTGTGAACACAAGCTGTAATATTCTACATCCTAATAACATTAATCACTTAAACTCACAATCACTACTGTGTACTATGTATTTTGAATTTCCTGGGATAAAAACATAAAATACTAAGAAATATTCACATGTGAGAAGCTGGAACCATACAATTCATACATTTTATGCATATAAACAAAAGATAAATGATGAATTACCTGGTGTTTTTGTATTCAGCCCTTTCAAAAAAAAAAACTGAAAACACTCTGTACAGTTCAGTTGGATTTTTGATGACTCATCATTCGGAGTTTAAGAATTTGCAGAGGCAACAGTGTGCAAATTTACTTTAAAAAAAAATACTGACTTGGTGCTTCTGATGGCAGGAACAGAAGGGGAATTTCTCCCATACTACTGCCACAAAGTTTGACACTCAATACTTCACGTTATTAAATGAAGATTTTCTTTACAATACAATACTACTATTTGTAATTGTGGTAGATGCTGTAGTGCAGGGGTGTCGAACTGCGGTCCTCGAGGGCCGCAATCCTGCATGTTTTAGATGTTTCCCTCTTCCAACACACCTGATTCAAATGATCAGCTCATCATCAAGCTCTGCAGAAGTCTGATAACGATCCTGATCATGTGAATCAGGTGTGTTGGAAGGACACATCTAAAACATGCAGGATTGCGGCCCTCGAGGACCGGATGTCGACACCCCTGCTGTAGTGTATCATCTTGTACTCATTAAAGTTAAAATAGATATTTTTTAGAACCAGTCAAGTTACATAGCTTGTGAAAATAACACAACTGACACAGGTGAATTTACAAATGAAATCTTTATGTATTTTTTTTCCAAAAGAAATGAAGCCCATCCAATCTATACCAAATTGAGTTTTGCCGCCCATCTGCCTCGTATCCACACAAGGCAACAGGCCGCTTGCTACAGATCTTCTCTGCACATCTATGGTAAACAAGTCTTCATGAAACATGCTTGATTTTTCCAGATACTTTTTGCATTCAAAACATTTTTTATTTTGGTAAAATCATACAATTTGCACAGCTGAGTATTTCCCATGCAGTGCAGTAGCCTATAAGCTAATACAGAAAGCAAAGTCTACATCTAAAGACTTCTAGGGTTCTCCAGAGATCGTGGAACAAGTCTCGGGTTTTGCCTGCAGTTGCAGCAGCCACCTGTTCATCCCAAACAGCAGCGACAAGGAGCCGCTTTGGAAATCAATCCTGCAGACCTGCTCCACATTCAAGGAGAACTCAAGAGGCGTCATATATGCAAATACAACAATGAGAATAAACCACATGTTTGTTTCTTTAAGGATTGCCATGTGCCAGACATTCACTGGAGAAAAATAATTATCAGGTCAAATTAGAATAAAGAATCAATAATGCACACAATTGGAGAATCTGAACACTTCTGCACTGATATGCTTAGGAAATTTGTTTGCTCTTTTTACAGCTTTATTCCAAACCTTGGCATGTTTGTTCAATTCCATTTCAAATTTTGTTGACAAATTAGTATATTCTAATAGAGATGACCGGCCCTGAGGAGGCCCTGAAACAGCTGTGGATATTATTTACTCTGTCCAATGTATCTTAAACATTAAAAAGCTCACACTACCCCGAAATATATAAATTTCACGCATACAGGTGACATTCAACATTCAAGTGCCAGTGTTTTTTGTACTGTCTTTTGGTCAAGTTTCTGAAACTTTCAAAGAATCACTTTGAGGCTTACAAAAATAAATATTTGTCAAAAATGCTTAATAAATTACACAAAACTAGCAGCAAAAGTAGAATCTAGAAATCTGTGCAAATGGCTAAATTCCCCTGACTGCTAAATCCCCTGGTCCCAAATAAATCCTGGTTTAAACGTTGAGAACCCTTCCCCTTTGTAAACAAGCTGCGTTTTTTCCACAATCTCCTCACACACAATATTTGGAAGCTTAAGGACACATATCCAAGACATCTATATAAAACTCTAGATGTGCAATAAAACAACTTTTTGTAAAACTTGATGGGCACGACGTACAAGGGCCTACACACCTAAATCAAGTAGCACCATTCAATCTCAAGTTCTCAACACTGTCAGTGCATCCGCTTTTAGTTCAATTTCTTTAAAAAACAAAAAAAGGTTTCAAGGCACAACACACCCGATGAGAAAACTGGGAGCATTTTTTATTTTTTTGAGGTTGAAACACCCCCATCTCTCCTCGTCTCGATGGCTGCTCCTCTTTGAGAGGAAAAGCCTGCTCTGGCTTCGCAAAGCCGCAGATGAATCTCCCAGAGGACCTGACAGTACTTTTAATGTTCCATAACAAAAGTGGACACTCTCCCAACCCCATCTTTGGCCACCTCCACAGTTACACTACGTAGCAATGGATACCAAAGCCACTGACAACAGCGGTGCACTGAAAACTGCGCCCAACGCCTACCCCCTATTCCCCCCTAAACCCCAGTGGCCAGAGTGCTGCTTCTACCCTGCTCCGTTGCTTGCTGTTTTAATTGAAAACCTCAGTGATCATTCAAATGCCTGTCTCTTAAAGATGAACCATGCCTCCAACGCAGCTTGAAAAGAGAAAACGTTTGTAATTAAGTTAAGCCTGCGACTCAGTTCACGTGTCCTTCCTCCTTGACCAAAAAACAAAACACTTGCAAGCGTAGAATACCATCTGGGCCTCATGGTTGCAGGTCGACTCAGTTAAAACACTAACACACCACGCTGTGCCCTCCCGATGCTGTGGTCCTTTATGCATGCAGCCATTTTGAACTTCACTTTCAAGATGGCAGGCATTTTTTGTTTTGATACATATTTGTAGAGAAACAACTCAAAAACAAAACAAATCAAAAAACTGACTCAGTTTTTCAATTTTGCATACACCTGCACCGAAAATGTCTCAAGTAAAAATAAACAAAAAACACCGCCCACTTAATGTAGCTAGCACTTGGTAACATACTAGCTGCCGTAACACTGTCAAGTCAATTGAAAAGTGTGGAGTAACAAGTTCCAGCATTGATTATTCTTGTTTCAACCTCAGCGATTGTTGGCACTGAGCTTAATGACTTCTGTGTTTCTTAAGATTACAATAGGAATGGCTATTTCAAAGACTACCATATCCGTAAAAAGGAGCCTGTCCAGGATAGAGTGAGCAAAAAAGAACAAGAAAAACAAATGTAACTTTGTCCTTTTAGGATTAAAATATGGTTGCTTCACAGAGTGGCCCAGTTTATGTTAGATATAGTAATGGCTCCATTAGCTGTTTGACTATAGAAAAAGCTACATGATGTTACTGCAATAAATTTGAAGTTCAAATGGAATCGTGACTCAGAGCCACAACACCCCAGTGTTTGCCAAGGTTTGATTAAGTACAAGCCTATTTTTTTTTTTATATCTTTATATATTTTCACCAAACAAAATAATAGTAAAAACAAATTTAGAGCTCTTGGCCATATTCATCTGGTGAAATGAAAACATAGATTTCCTGTTTAAATTCAAAAGGCACAGTACATTAACATACAAATGATCCTCAGGTTACTCAATTGGGTTTTTTCCCCCCACAAAAAGAACAAAAATACTTTTAACAATGAAAGTCCGAGGTTGCTGTCGGACAATGCATGTCAGCATCCATGCTCACTCTGAGGTGTGCGAATCTCTGCGGTCTCCGGTGCGTTGCACGGTGCTGGTGACTTTCCTTTGCGTCGTGCTGCACTTCCGTTTTGAGAGAAGCGAATGGCAGAGAACCAGGGTTGGTAATGTACTGTGTGTCAGTGAAGCTACACAGGGAGGGTTGTTATGGTCTGGCTTAAGTTAACATGTGGTTTCCATTGGGTTGGGTTGGCATGGCAACCTATTCCTATGGTGACTAGTTGCCCCACCAATCCACACTACCAGAGTGGCTGTAGTTTCCTCCGTAGCCGTCATTGCTGTAGAAGTTGCTCCCAAACCCACCTGTGTAGAAAAAGGTTAGAGGGCAGTTAGAGAAGGAACAAAAAGTCTAGTTAAACCTGTAGTAACTACATTTTTTAGCAGGCAGCAGAAAGAAATTGTGAAGACAACACATGGTGAATTTGCTGGCAAAGTCTCTCATTTAGACAAGTTAAACTGTGTTTAAGATTAAACATCTACTCAAAATCTGATTATAAAACACATAATATCCAAGCCACAATTGCTCAACTTTGTGATTAAAAAAAACTAAAATAAAAAAAGGGGTAAAATGTATCGCAACAAACAATCATAAATGATGTTTGATTGGTACATTCTGAAGGAAAAAAAAAAACATTTTATTGTTGGTTTCATTTGAATAAAAAAAATAAATAAAACATTTCCAATAAAATTGTGACTTGCAGTATAAAGGTTCTCCTCCACTGACATTTAAGATAAATTTTGAGACCCTAATCCTGCTTTTACTGGCTTTTGGTAGCACTTTGATTTTTAACTTCTTATCCAGTTTTGCCTTGTTTTATTTTTTGACCTTACAAATGTATTGCACTTGGAACTTCTTTTTGTTGCTGCCTGGCTGTTACAGTGTGAAACATTTTGGTCAACTCAGGTGGTTTTCAATGTGCAATATAAATAAATTTGATTGGACTTGATTCATACTATGATGCCTGTCAAACTATTTTTTACATAGTCAAAAAACCTCAAATCACTCTGTTCACCAGTTCGTCTTTACACATGATTTGCATCTCCAAACTAAGTTAAGGGGCTTGCATTTTTTAAGGCTTGACCTCTATTCTGTAAAGTTGCAGCTGTTACATGTAATGCAACATGGTTTTAGATGGAAGTGTCAATGGATTTAACTTAGCAGTAAAGTGAAAACAGATAAAAAGATCGGAGGAAAATATTGTTTGCTTACCTCCAAAGCCACGGTTTCCCCCATGGCCTCCAGTGTTTCGCCCTGCACGATTGCTACTAAAGTTTCCAGAGCCACCAGACGTCTGACGGTAATCTCTAGCTCCGAACCCGCCAGAGAACCTGAATGAGACGAGAACATTTGCTTGTTAGAATTAAGATTTTCTCAAGGTGTGACAAATTAAAGATTAGAAATGTCTCAAGCTTCAGTTGATTTAAAATGATGTATACCACAAGTCTCCCTGGAAATTACTCTACATCTCATCTGCACAATTAGCATTCAGCTAGTGACGGTAGACAGCAGTCAGTTTTGCATTGCAGAGCTACTTATTTGTACAATTCTGTCCCACAATGAAGACACACTCAAACACAATATTTGTGCTACGAATATGCATTTGATTCTTCAAACATTCCTAGATGTTAACAACTCTGTGATGCATCAGACAAACTTATGTTCTAAAGACGCCCATGACTTTATGAAGTCTTGTGTGACAGATACCTCTTAGAGCGTCCACGGCTGCTGCTCTTGTGCTGGTGCTCGTAGGCCAGGCTCTCAAGCCAGGAGGGAACCTCCTGCTTGGCCTCAACCAGAATGTCCAGCAAATCTTTGGTTATGTTGCTGTTTTTGTCGTTAAAGAACGACGTGGCCAGACCTGCACATAAACAGATCACACAGAGTCAATAAAATGTTAACTCACACAACAGGCATCAAAATGTTTTTATTTAAAAAAAAAAAACAAATCAAACACTTCATACCGAGGTTGCCCACACGTCCCGTACGGCCAATACGGTGAACGTATTCCTCAATGTCACTGGGCAAGTCAAAGTTAATGACATGCTTCACATTGCAGATGTCCAGACCTCTAGCAGCCACCTAGAAAAGAGAGGGAGCAGGGAAATTTAAAATATTAAAGTCAATGTTTATTTCTGAATCACTTAGGCTAATAAAGCTAGCAAATGCAAAGCCCACAAGTGCACTGCGGCCTATTTAGTTAATCTAAAGATAACAGATATGTTTATCCTGCAACCAACCAGTTGATTGGAGTAGCTATGATTTCAGTCGACAAAGTTAATTACATCCAGAATAGGTACGTAAAAACATGTTAAACTATTTCTGATGTATGAGTACTTAAGTTTGCACGAAAAGCTTTATTTGTTAGCGAGACATCATTAAAACTACAGTTTGGACACATGTAAAAGTAAAAGAATTTTTATTACTTACAGCTGTAGCCACCAAGATGGGGCAGCGTCCAGACCTGAACTGATGCAGAGCTTCCTCCCTGTCTCTCTGGGATCGATCTCCATGGATGCTGGTGCAGGCGTAACCCTCGTGGTACAGGAAGTCTTCCAGAGCATCTGCGCCTTTCTTTGTTTCCACAAACACCAGAGTCAAGGAGTCTTTACCTGTGCAGCCAGAAATAAAGGGAACGAGACAAAGGGGGGACAGCAGGATAAAGAGCATGACAGGACAAGAAAGAAAAATCACTGATCAACTGGAACAAGACTACACACAATTTCTTTAAAAAACAAAAGTAAGATGGAAGCAGGAACTTAAGACTATCTGACTTCAAAAGGCTGGCAATTGCAAAATCATGACGTAAAAAATAAAAAAACAAAATGACAACTTATAAATGGAGACAAGAGTTGCATAAAAAGCTTTACATTTACTGACAACCACTAATTGAAACCATGACTTCAGTTTTTGTTCACACAGTACTGAAGATAACAGAATAGCTGCATTATTTTATTTTTAAAAATTACTGAATTGTCACACTAGGTTACAATCCAGATATTTGGCATTAATGGCTGTCAGAGTAAAAGCTTGAGATAATAAAAATGACTGAGGGGTGATGGGGTAGGACAGGCCATTCAAAGTCATTCACAGCTAACCCTGTGACAGTTCAGCACTCTGGCACAAACCAGGAAAAATAAACTGCATCCATCAAAGCTCCGTCCTCTCCATATTAACTTAAGCCTGTGAGTACTTCAAAATAAAGCCCAATCAGACTGAATTGTTAAGCTGTTAAGAGGACACCCTAGTTCACCATTTCCATGCAGCTGACCCCCCTCCACATCAAGTGTGCGCTTTAGAAAGGCTGTTCATGACATAAATTACACATTTGTTTGCTTATTGATGTAGCAGCTGCCCTAGTTACCACGGAAACAGTGCAATGTGCACTATTTCTTCAGGGAAACAATCAAGTCAGTAAACAAGTGTTCTACATTACACAAGTAAGGAGTGGAATTTGCAAGAAATGGCTCAGTAAATCACTAAAATGATCCTTCTTATGGGCCTATTTACTGTAATTCACCTTTACTGCCTTCTAAAAAGAGACTAAACAAGCTCTACAGAAATAGTGTGTTCACTGAAGTAACAGGTCAGTGCTATTAAATCTGTCACAGCCATCTGACTCACGGAAACTGAGATCTTTCTACGACAACCAGCCAACTGACCTTAGTGCCAAACTGAGAACACACTGCAACGCTATGCTAATTTGAGCTCCCCTCTCACTGGGGAGATGTTGTACTATTCCGTCAATAAGGTGCAATTGCTGGTCCTACAAGCTCTTATTGGAAATGAAAAGACAAAACAAAACTGAGGCAGCACGTCAGCTGGGGAGCGGAGGGACAGGATGAGCTGTGGGATGTGATGTTTCTGGCTTGTGGGTCAGAGTGAAGTTATGGTATGTTCACACTTACCCGGTTTCTCTGGGGCCTCTGTCACATTTTCCTGAACCTCACTGGGAATAACTAAGATAAAACCAGATCGGCCAGTAAACGCAAGGCTGCTCAGTACACAACTTTAACAGCTTTAGATCATCATGAGAAGCAAACCCCCTTAAAACACAGCAGGTGACTTTAGTGCCTGCTCACCCCTGCATAAGACTTGGTTTTGATATTTTGTTTTCACAGCTACAATGAACAATTGTTAGCAGAGATGTAGCAAAGTCAATATTAGCTTGGTATGGGGCAGACCGACAAACACAGGATGATGGGTTAGAGCCCAATGTGAGATTCATGGGAAGAAAAAAAATTCATTTCTTTATCGTTTCTCACCTGTGGCATTGAGCAAGTCCAGAAGGAAGGACCTCTTGTCAGTCTCTTCCACCCAGACAACCTTCTGGGTGATGTTTTCTGAAGTGGAACCAACACGCCCAACTGCCAGGAAAATGTAGTCATCCAGGAAGTCACGAGCCAGGATCTACAAATACAAGCACATCAAATAGCTAGGTATGCAGATAGTTAACCTTATCAATCGTCTGAACCCGTTGTTCTGCTTGAAAAGTGCGACACCTGAACAAGAAATCACCAATATTACACCATTTGTCAGAGTACTTTTTTTTTTTTTTTTTTTTAAGCAAAGCATTTTACCTTTCAAATTATTCTTATGCTAATCACACGAGATGCGCAATTCGGGCATTAAAATTAACTAAATCCAAGCTTAAAGCTAGGCTGTTTTGAGCCTAACGAAGATTTGCACAAGATTTTGTAAAATTAACAAATATTTCAACTTCTGAGACTATTTGGGTAAACTGCAAACAAGTAAGGAAACAAAGTAGATTGATTGAGAGCAAAATAAAACTTGACTGAGCAGTAAAATAAATACGACATAGCTCAAAAAAAAAAAACAGTAAACAGAGGAACAAGTTGTTGGAAGATACGTTCATCACGGTGAAATCTTATACAGAGAAATATACTGAGTAGTATTTATTTCAGTTTTATGACTTTACTGGACAGAAGCCACTGGAGTGCTCACTACCACTTCTTGCCATGGTTGTGTTGTTCCTCAAACTGCTTCGAGTTTAGAGGGTGAAGCAAGACTGTGTATACCTATTGGTACCCAACATACCTGGATCTCTTTGGGGAAGGTTGCACTGAACATCATGGTCTGGCGGATGCCTTTAGGTGGCATCGTATCCTGCTCCACAATGCGTCTGATTTGTGGCTCAAAACCCATGTCCAACATGCGGTCAGCCTCATCCAGGACCAAGTAACTGGAGAAACATTTTATATGCAATTACTAATAAGCACTCACATTGGATGTTTCAAAAAAAAAAAAAATAAATAAAGTCCTCTTTAGAAATTTCACTACACAGCCCTGTTTTATACTGACTTGCAGTAGTCCAGACCGATCTTGCCCCTCTCCATCATATCAACCAGACGTCCAGGTGTGGCCACCAGTAGGTGACAGCCTCTCTCCAAGTCCCTTATCTGCTGGCCAATATCAGCACCGCCATACACGACGCAGGGACGCACGCGAGAGCGATAGGCAAACTAGAAGGTTGAAATCAAATGGGAAACGATGAAGTTTTAGGATTCACCATTTGGGCAAACAATGAGTGCCAGAAACCGTTAAGTGTGCAGCTCACCTTTCTCGCCTCATCATAGATCTGCAAAGCCAGCTCTCTGGTGGGAGCCAGGACAAGGGAGATTGGGTACTGTTTACGTCGGCCGTACCGTCCATTGTCCTGAAGATCAAAGAAATATTCATCAGAAAAGTCAAACAGTTTGATGGGATATGTTCGGCTATTGTGCATTTTCTTTCCTCAGTACCTGTCCACTGTTCTTGGCTGCCTGCAGAGCATCTCCTGGTCCTTCAGTGTAGATCTGACTCAGCACTGGCAGCAAGAAGGCAGCAGTCTTACCAGAGCCTGAAACACAGCAGGGATCATGCAAATGGTTATTACAAAAATCTAAAAACATAAACTTATGACTAAAGGCTGAATATAAATAGCAATACTAACCAGTCTGGGCGCAGGCCATCAGGTCTCTTTTGGACTTGATGATGGGGATAGCATGTTTCTGGACCGGAGTGGGACGAGTGTAGCGACTCAGGGTGATGTTCCCCATGATAATCTCTCCCATGTCCACATCATGGAACTACAGACGAATCAAAAAGATGGTCAGTGAAAGACAAACTGTGCTTTTAAACCATACAAATATAAAAGGACAGCAGAATACACTTACACTTTCAATGTGTGGTGGGCAGTTGCTCCCAGTGGCCTCCACGGGAATATCATCATATTTCTCAAAGTTTATGCCAGTGTTGCTTCCAGAGAAAAGCTCACTAGAATGAAGAAGGTAAAATTTTAAAGATAAATGCAGATATATACATGTATTATTATTTTTAAAGTGTTTTTTATTTTGTGAGTAGAATCTCTCTTACTGTTCCAGGCGCTCATTTGGAGCAGTGGGCTTGGACCAGTCGTCATCTCTGGAGTCCTCCACCCAGCGGCTGTTTCCTCCACCAGCAAAGCCCCCACGCTCATATCTGCACACAGAAACAGACTGGTAAAATGTAGAGCTACAAAACATCTATATGTTATGTCTGATTTAGTACTATACAATATATCTCAGTCTTTTCCTCCCTCAAAAAAAAAATTTAAAAAAAAAAAAAATCGAACTTCAGCAAACTGACAGTTTGCATTATATCCTCTCCAATGGTTGTGGCAAAAACAGCTGACCTTCAAGTGTGTAACCTAATAGCTACATTGTACTTGAGTCGCATCATAGCATTTTTTTCTTTTTAGACTCAGCATGGGTCTTAAGTGATTGTTGGGTGTTCTAGTCTTATTTAACATCTACTGTTCAACTTGTCTGCTAGTTGTGTTTCCACAACTCCCTTTAATGCACATTTTAATGTATCAGTGAAAAAAATAATCTTCAGTTATTAAGGTTTTTACACTTGCTGGAGGCGTTTCTTTTTTTTTGGCTTTGTTAAAAAGAGCTTACAACTCTACAAGATTTCTCTCCACTCCTCTCTTGTAGAGGGTTGTTTCTTCATGGCTCTTCAGCAGTCAACAATTATTTTATGTTCTGCTTTTTTTGTACTCTGTTTATTGCAGCTATACTCAACATAGCCTATACCACTACCTTCTCACACACTTACTGGAAACAAGTCTTATTTACACCTTTTCCGTTTATTTTGCAGCATTTCAAACGGTTGCTTCATTTGATTCTCAATTATACATAAATAATGGTCACTATTGTCAGCTGTTCTGACAACAATGTAAACTCACAAGCTTCACCAGGTGAGCACTTCAGGGTCTGTGTATCTTCATGTAAGCCTTTGACCATTGGTTTAGTTAATATTTGTCAAAGATGTTATTTTCAATAAAAATAAAGCAATGGAGATTTTTTATCATTATCAGGACAGACCAGAATTAGCCTTTGCACTTCAGTAAATGAACTCCTAATTAACAAAACACTAATTTTAAAAATATATGTTATCACCAACGTTGAACAGTTCTACACACCTTCCTCTTGAGCCCGCCCCACGGTCATTGAAGAAGGCAGACTTGGACCTATCGTTACGTCCTCCGAAGCTGTTGTAGGCAGCATCCCTGGGTTGTCCTCCCCAGCCGCCCTCTTTGTTTTCATAAGTGCCAAACCCTGTAATGAAGAGATAAAGGCCTGTCAGCAATATACTTTTGCTAAGTCAGCCATTACACATCATTAGATGATGCGCATTTCTTACCAAAAGCAGAAAATACCCGCGTTTCCCCTAAAGCAGAATACCATTGATGTTAGATTTCAAAAATCAAGTACTCCAAAGTAATTCTAAATGCACTGCAAATGCAGATTTACAAGCTTTTGATACTGTAACAGTAGAATTAAAAAATAAAAGGGTGGGGGAGTTTACAGCTAAAACTACACTTTCATATTTTAAAGAACGACAGGATTTCCCCACCTGCGTTTTGCAATGGTTGATTAAACGAGCCTCCACCCCTGTTACCACGGTAGGCGCCGCGCCCACCTCTATCATTGCGAGAGGGTCCGCGCCCTCCATAGCCCCCGTTTGTGCGGTTGTCGTGGTAACCATTCACAAATCCATTGCTTCGTCCGCCATCCCATCCAGGTGAATCTTCACAAGGGAGACAAAAAAAATATAAAAAAACAGAATAAGAGGTTTTTGAGGAAAAGCAAAGGTGCACATATTTGTGTCAGTAAGCAAGTACACATTTGGCTATACTCATAGTCCTCACTATCCATGAGCCTCTCACCAACTGCTGACCTATTTTTAGTCTGATTTACCGACAGGTGGGTTACAAGCAACTCCTGTAGACTACAACCTGCACTGAGAGCCTACAAAACACTGCAACACCACTTGTGTTACAGGTTGTCCTATAGAAAGAAATGCAAAAGTTGCAATAGATGCATAAGAATGAAAGGTTTCACTGACACTAGCTTGGTTATTTGTGTAGGATGACTTTTCTGGTCCAAGACCTAATAAAGCCCGTCTCTGTCTGTATGGGACATTTACCACAACGATCTGCCCAGCATTGGACACTGGCTGTGTCATCGTTCCCATCGGAGGCCACACTGTTATCAGTGCAGGCTGAGGATGGTGGGGGAGACAATGGACAGTTAGCGCTGCTACGTAACGCTTGCCAAGTAGCTGAGGCTAATGCCACAACAACATCAAGGAAGGGGCAGACCAGCCACACAGATCTGTCTCCCATTAGGCAGGCTTTGAAGGAGAATTGGTTCAGCCAAAGGGGCTAATTATAGATCTGTGATGAGGTCTTACTTTGCACCTGTAGGCAGGTAAATGCTTTCATCACAGTGCCCCCTTCATTAAAGCACAAGGACAAACCCTGTCAGGACTCACAAGCACACACCAATATACGAGGTGTTTCAGAAAAGTTCCAGGTCACAAAAGATATATGGCAAACCCAAACTACGAGTTTTCCCCCTGCAGACGATCAACCAGCATGTCTACAAAGAGATTCTGCTGCGTTTACTTCATTCAGTGCGCGAGAAGAGAGTTGTGGCAGGACAATTCTTGGAAGCTTCCCCATGACAACGCACCTGCTCACAATGCCCTGAGCATCCAACAGATCCTGGCTGAGAAGAACATTGCCATGTTGGAGCAACCTCCCTACTCACCCGACCTAGCTTCGTGTGATTTTTTTCCTCTTCCCCAAGCTCAAAGGGGTCATCAAGGAGACCAGTTTTGAAGATGTGGACAACATCAAGATGGCTATGACAATGGAGCTGCGGCATCCAGGGGGATTACATCAAAGGGGAAAACTTGTAGTTTGTATTTGTAATATATCTTTTGTGACACCAGTCCTGAAACTTTTCTGACACACCTCATACCTTTGACAAGTAGATGATGTCATAGTTGTTTGTCTGTGATACTGATCTGAGTCATTAAATTCAGAGTATCAGGCTATACAAACATATCCAGGTTTTTTTGGCTCAAAAGTCAGTGGTGACAAGAAAGTAGGGCTACATTATACTTGAGTCCTCCAGATTTTACCTTACCATAATTAAATACATTATCTACTGCAATAATAGACCTTTCAAAAGCTCTGATCACAAATAGTCCATGTAGAAAAAATGCTTGTTTTCAGCTTAGGTACATCTGACATCAGAGCACCATATTTTACATTTTCCAAAGTATTTTTTTGACTGTGTTGTTGCCCTGCAGTAACTTAGTGGAAACTAGAAGCGTTTCTGTGCACAGTCACCTAGTTGGCACCTATCGCAGACTATAATGAAATGAAAATGAAATGAAAAATACTTTATTTATACCAGAAGGGAAATTCAATCTTGTAAAAGCTCACTTTTTTTTTTTTAAATCAATATAACATATATTATATACAACAATAATAATCATTCAGTCAGCCGGATTTGTTTTTTAAGGTGATAAGAGAGGAGTTAAAGGAACATTGGGATAACGCAGTGTCTTGATGAGCAGGTGTTCACCAAGTTGGTATAGTTATATTCAATATACTTGATTGTTTATCATTTTACATACCAGTAAACATGGTAACTTAAACAAAAAATGTGGTAGAATTTAGTCACTCAGACTGGTATCAGACAAAAACGAGGCATGTGGACTCTGCAAAAATGGCAAAGCACAGCATGCAAGGATGTCGTAGGCTAAATTTCCAAGACAGCAACACAGAAGACTTCACATCAAACCAAATGACAAAACTAAACCCAAAACTCCAAAAGTATTTGGAAAAACAATGCAAACTCCCCACTGAGCAGACCTTTTTCTCCAATCCTAAAGTGAATGCACCACCTTCAGCGCAAACAATTTAAAAACCTTTAAGATGTAACTAAGGAATCTGAAAAGCCTGTCAGCATTTGTCACTGCCTGCTTGGCTGGGATCATGGAGTACACTTTAAAAATTTCTTACCACCTAAGTATGTACGACAAGTGGTTTCGTGATTCCAACACTAATTCTCAAAGAGAACACTTCGTCCAACACAATCTCACATTTCATGAGTATTTATGTCCTTTTGGCTCATTTTGACCACACTGTTGGTGCACCATGTTCCAGATAGCAAATTACTGGCATGTTCTGGAGATGCTTGTGTGGCAACCCAAGCTGCTGAACTTCAAAACTACATGCTGAAAGACTGACTTTTTCACAATCCTGAGCCATACTTAGGAGTAGGAAATAGTATTAACAGCATGACAATTCTAAGCTAAAGAGTTTTCATACATTTTAATCTGGACACATGAAATACAGAGTTCAAGCCAGCTCCAGACACCTAAAAACCACTGTTGTATTTGTAACTACTTTAATTGCAAATACCAAAGAAAAAGCCACCTGACAACAGTCAACGTTGAAATAACCTCATAAAAGCAAACATCCCTTTCAGACAGACGCTACCTTTCAGGAGTATACAATCATGTGCAGGGGTGACTGTATGCAAGTTTCAGTTCCAGAGTGCAATTTAAATGGTTATACTATTCTCACACTGGAGAGATCTCATCAAAGGAATCTCCTGGTGTTGAAACAAAAGTCTGCATGCGCTCAGGTTCTCAGCACAGCATTCAATAATCCCACTCAGTACTTTTCATCAGTACGCAGAGACACAAAGCTACAAGGTCCACGAAGAATTCAAAAGAACCGAGGCTCGTGACTAATGAGTAAAATCAAGTGATATCGATGCAGCAGTGTGAAATTCAAAATAAAACTCCTGTTTTGACTTCTTGACTGATTAATTCTTTGAGCTAATATTGTCTTATCATTAGTAATACAGCCACACTAGTGATGCAGTGCAGTCTTAAGGCACCATCACCATGCATCAAAAGCAACTTCATTTGCAAAGCTTTGACAAATGCAGTGTTAGGCCCAGATTTCTGCTGCTTTTTTTTGTTCAAGTGACCATGACAAAGCAGGGGGCACATTGATTATGACCAGTGTTCAGCTATATATACACTATGAAACTATGCCAACAAGTAGATGGCGTGGCATGCAGGTAGAGGTCAAGGTATACCACATCTGTTTCGCCAACCCCCACTGTAGGCATGGTAAAAGGCAAGCTCTTGAGAGGCCAGTCTTGGGTAACCTGAGCAAAGGTAGGGAAGCAGGCTATAAAAAGACTCACCCATAAGTACTGGCTCATGCAGTATGAGTGTAGGGCTTGACTTTACACTAATAGTTACCAATCGTACAGTCATCCCATCCTGAAGTAAAGTTATTTCTGTGTCTTTGTTGACACTCTGCTTGCCATGGTTGTGAGCACTGCTTTGAAGAAACTTGGTGGACATTGCAGGTGAAATATGGGCATAAATATACAGTGAAAAAAATAATTCAATCAATCCTTTATGTGCTTCCAAAACAAATAAAATTTTAAAAAATCAATTATAGTAAAGCACTAAATCAACAAGCTTATGCCTACATCAATTGCTCTTTTCCTAAAAAAATGCTAATGTTGACTGCAAGCATTCCAGCAGAGAGAAGCACATCAATTAATCATGAGCTCATCATTAACTTTCACTGGTTAAGTGTATAGAACTAACCTAATGCTCCCTCCCCCCTCTCTCCCCCTTCGCACTGGCTTTGCTGGTGTGTAAAATGGCTATTTCATGCATCTGAAAATGCAAGTTGCCCTCAGCGAAAGCAGACAGAAGGGACTTACAGAAATTTACTGGTGCCACTGAATAACCGCACTGTCTACCAGCGGAATAAGCATTTCCTGCTGTGGAATAAGAAAACAGTAAAAACGAGAAAAACGTCAAGTGTGCAATGACACAGTACCATCAAGATTTTTTAAAAATGTAAAAATATCTCACAGCCAGACACAACATGTGTCTTGATTTAAAGCCTTTAAGAGGCTAAACAAACAGAAAAAAATTACAGCCACCCCACAACCACATCATCCTGGCTACAAAAACAAAACATTTTTTAATTTAGGAGGATATATTTCAATACTTATACAATCACAAGCCCACCCACCCACCACATTTCCCTTTATCAGAGCAGTCAACAGCTAGCACTCGTCTTGTTCACATGTGAGACGTTGCACCAGCCAAAAAATTAGGGAAAAGGATTGCTAAAGAAAATAGCTTCGTAATCAGACAGATTTCAAATTTGCCCCATTCTTCTACTTATGAGCAGTCTGGGGTGAAAATTCAAGGTTATAATACCACTTGCCCTACTTTATCCGTGCCAAAATGAGCTATCATGCACAGACACAGAAAACCCATTTGACATGGCTTTCTCTCCTTGTTCTGTGCACTGGGAAAATGTCCTCTATGTTCAGCAAAACTAACATTTTTGAAATGACTGGTTAAGATCAATATGTGACATAAAGCCTCACTATTTTTCTCAATTGTGCTTGCTTTTACCATGCTCTGATGGGACATGGAACAACACAAGTCAGTCCTGAGTTTGAGGGCCTGACAATGCATCGGTGGACCTGAGTAAAACTTACCGTTTTTAGAAGCCTCTTTGTTCCTCAAGTGAGGTGGAATGTAACGCCCTGGTGGACAAAAAGAACACTGTCAAACACATGACTGGCAGTGTTTACAAACTAAAGGAGACTACGGATATAAAAACCTTCACTCAAAGGAAAAACTGTATTTTGATAGTACATTACACAATTCTACTGACTAACAATAAAGCTGTCTGGTGCAAACCGATGTTTTTCTTACAGACAAACAATGCAAATGGAATATAGTCCTTTATTTGTTTCATGAGTAACCTGAACGTAATCAATACAAAATTACCATTACAAAAGACTTACAGAGAGAAGCAATCAAACACTTAACATTGTCATGTAAATCTGACTTATTACTTACTGCCAGTTCCTCCGCCTTGTCCGTCAGCAGAGTTCAAGTCTAGGGCAGCAAGCTGTAAAAAAAAAAAAAAAAAGAAAGAAAGAAAGAAAAATTTATGTAAATTGGCTAAGAACCAAGCAAGCATTCACCAACACTCTAGCAAATGAACCACAAATACATTATATAGCCAAAATAACAACAAAAACAAAAAACATGTCTGACTGTCAGCTACTTTTTATTTTAATAGTCCTAAATGGTTTTACACTTTTACCAAAACAAAGCAATATTACTCATAATTTCACTTGCATAAACAGGTATCCCATCAGTTACTGGCTGCCTGCTTCTTCCTGACGCTGTACTGTCCAATTTATATTTGTCTGCAGGCACTTCTGGCTGGCCGAAACTGTCATAACGTGTAAACAGATGCAACTTTGTGTCTAACACAATAGCAAAGGTGTGCCACTGAGAAACTTTTATTGTGACCAAAAACGTGTTGGCAGTTTGTAGTATAATCAGGCATGGTTAAATAGTCATTTTGATGCATTAATAAAAATCCAGCCACAAAGTAGGACAGTGTTGAAAAATTAATTTTAAATCAAAAATTGAAACAATGCAATCAGCAAAGGGTGCACTTTAGAATATACACTGCACAGCGCATCTGACTCAAGGTTTAGTTATTATTATAACTTAAGCAATACTTGATACTAGACGATGAACATGAGTCACTGAAGAAAAATCACTTAAAACGTCAGAGATTGTATATGGGGGGAACATTTTTTCTTGATGTAATCGTTTTACTTTTAGAATCATCATTTTAAGCAACCACTGTCACAGTTTCAGTGATAACCGCTCCTTCCTAAGGACAAGTTGGAAGAAATTTTAATTCTATGTACTAGAACACAAAGCAGTAAATATGTCATCGATGTCTTATGTGCTAATGCTGAAGCACATTTTAAATCCATTTCACAATGTATACTGAACTGGAACTTGATTTTAAATTATATAAGGAAATTCGGAATTAAGTTTCTTTGTATTTCCCCTACTACCTAGTACAAAATACATCATTAGGTCAATAGAATTACATGACAGCAAGATTTCAAATGTTTAGCTACTTTATAGTTGAACAGTTCGACATGATTTCGCACTTTGAACAAACCATAAAGCAAAATGACTCAACTTTGCTCGCTCACGCCGGTTTCCTTTAGTCTAACAACCGACATTGCATGGCACAACCACAGAGTAACTATTTAAAAAAAAAAACGTCAACAAATTAAAACTTTACCCCATCCCCCTCTCAAAAAAGTTAAATATCACGTATTAATACTTAAAGTAAATTGAATTGATCAAGTTTATTCTGTGATCGGCCTGTTAAGTTCAGAGCATTACATTTCGGAAATAATAATGGTCGCTAAAAATCGCTGCCAACATTTTTTCCTGCGCCACGTTTCAGGTTGAGAAGGCCTCACGTTAGCCGGCTAACCTGCTAGGATACCGGCCGGATCGTAAATGTTAGCTAACCCCGGTAAATGTCGATTTCCACCATTTATTTCCACCAGAGGTAATTTAAATATCATAAGTGGCCAAATTTACTGCTATATTAAAATTGTGACACGGAATTATTAGCTTAGTTCGGTGTCTCAACGCAGCTCCGCCATCACAATCTTCTCCACGGCGACCTCCATTTTAGCAGCCGCAGCATTAGCCAAGCTCCGGGCTAGCTAACGAAGCTCTGTCTTTCTCTGTCGAAACTACATGTGCGTAACGAAAAAAAACCAACCACATTTCTAAGAGTTAAAAAATGTCATAAACGTTAAGTACTCACCTGCTGATCTAGACCGTGTGGATTATCAGCGACCACATGACTCATAACTAAAGAGAGTAGTGGGGGATTATTTCTCAAGAGAAAGGATTTTCTTTGTTAGCACGAACCGACTGTCCTGAAAACTTAGCTTTCCTGTTTTTTCTGGTACAAATTACGACCTAGAATCAACGGTAAAGATGAAAATAGACGATTGACTTTAAATAAATTTTAAAAAGAAGACGTTGTTATGTATAAATACAAATTCCGACCAAGTTTCCGAAAGAAATAATCGTTACGGAGCTGTTGAACAGAAACCCCCTCCCGGCAGACTCGACCGTGCTGGAATGAGACACCGAAGGCTCAGGTAGCGCGAGATATCCGCTCTGTAACCCCAGACCGCCTGCCCGCCCTGCAAATATCGCGAGATTTCAATTAGCAGCGAAAGCAGCTTTTTGTAGGCATTAAACCAGCCATTAGGCTTCTGGCAGTCATATACATATTGTTTGAGAGTGCACCCTGTAAAAACGAGGCTCTTAACCTAAAGCTTTGTAATCTTAAATTCAATATACCTTCATATTTGAGGTGACCTGGCACATATGGACTGAGTTGTACATTTGTGGCCTGTTGGAGGGTATTATACAAGTTTAGGATTTACACCTCATTTGTTTTTATAAAATGATAAATACCCCCTGTGTGGTATCTGTGACCATTTTAAAAACACAGTAAAGAAATGCATATAAATTACAGTTAGAGGTGATAATGCAAATATACACATTTCAAAATGACACCAATATAATATCATGGCCAGATTATGAAACAATGGGCACAGATATGTAAAAGCTCCTCTCCCACATAAAAGACATTCACTTTGCTTGTTTTTAGGGATTGTGCATGTCATTGTGTTGTTTTTCTGCCTTTTTGCAACTATTTTGATTGTATTGTGTTCATTTTGCTATGCTTTTCAGTTATTTCGTGTCTCACAGTGGGTTTCATTTCGGTCCTTTTTGTGGATATATTATGACCCTTTGCGTTTTGTATGCTTATCATTTTTATCATTTTGCACTCATACTACTACATTTCAATCTGTATGTGGCAATTTTGTATCTCTTTGTGTTCCTTTTGCTTCTCTTTTTAGTCATTTGTCATCTCATATTTGTATTTTTCTGTCTTTGCAGCCATTTTGTGTATATTATGTTCTGTTCCTCATGCTTCTCGTTTTAGCCATTCCACAACGTATGCTGGTATATTTCTGTGTACCTGTTTTGTGTCTATTGTGTTCATTTTGCTTATCTTTATAGTCACTTTGCATTTTATTTATGGCCTTTTTGTGCCTTTTTGCTTCTCATTTTAGTCATTTTGTACCTTTCGCAGTCATTCTGCAACTCATATTGGTACATTACTGTTTGTTCGTAGTCATTTTGCATCTATTTCTGTTCCTTTTGCTTCTCTTTAGGTCATTTTGCATCTCATAGTTGAACTTTGTCTCTTTGCAGCCATTTCGTATACACTGTGTTCATTATCCGAATCTTCTTTTTTGTTGGTGTCATTTTACATCTCATAGTGGTCTTTTCCTGTCAGTTTGAAACCATTTTTGTGTCTATTTATAGACTTTACGCATCACTGTTGGGTTATTTTGCATACTTTCATGTTTTGGACATTTTTTAAAATGTATTTAATTTTTTTTACTTTACCATCAAAATTTTGATGGTAAAGCCCAATAACACCAACTATCTGTAAAATAACAATATTTTGTGACGATACAGTAAAAGTTGTGTAATTTTGCCTGTAAATGTTGCAAAAGAACAAATAACCTTTTGTGAGAATATTGATGTATTCATATCATATATTTATTTATAGAAACATCTTCTATATAGACATTATTTACAGTTTTGGCTATTTTTTTTTTTTTTTCAATTAACTTCTAAATTAACACTTTTTTCTGTGATTTCACAAGTTATTGTCTTTAATTTAATGAAACAGAGAAAATCAGTAAAATAACGGTAAACTGTCAAACAATACTGTTGACAAACCTTTTTTTTGTACAGTGTATATACTGTGTAATACAGTTGAATGATTTCCCAAACTTGGTTAATTTGGGGCATCCAGGGTGGTTAAATGTGGCCTTATCATATGGTTACACATGTCCTCTGTAAGGCCAGGCAGGGTCAGGAATAAGCTCATCCAAAGCCTCTCCAACCCCCCTCAGTCTGTTGTTTCCGTGGCAGCAAGCCTTCTGTTCTGCCACACTGCAGGCTGTCCGGCCTGTTGGCGTCATTTATCCTCCGCTCTGCGCAGTACCAGCCGACCAAGGAGGCCTGAGGAGACCATATGTTGCCGGGATCAGGTACACCACAGGTAATTGGCTACCAGGACAAAGGTCAACCGCCAAGAGATTTCTGACATGACAGGCGACAAGTGAAGCTGATGCAGAGGAAATCCCTCTAGAACTCCATCTCTGAGACAGAGCTCCTTATATATATTTAATTGTCAGTGAGTGGAGTTGATGTTTACAAAACAGAAACGCCAAGCCTCTCTTGACTTGTACTAAAACTGATGGCTCTGTGGCTGAAAGCAACTATGTGCAGTTACTCATGTGCTGTAGTACACTGCAAAAAAAGAAAAGAAACAGTGAAAATCTGGCAGCAAGGGTGCTACAAAAAATGTGTTAAAAAAAACAATGAAATACTGTAAAAACTATGAAAATAAAATAATGTTTTTTTAGCTGATTTAAGTGTGATTTCTGATCACACATTGTAAAAGAAAAACTAGTGTTTGTAAAATCAATATAATCCCCCCTGAGATTTTACTAGGTGCAGAACAGTTATTTAAAAAAAAAAAAAAAAAAAAAAAAGATTAAAAAAAAAAAAAATTAATATATATATTTTTCATTCAAACAATAACTGACACATATCTCTGAAATAATTATATTTTTTGAAGATTCAGCAAAGTGCAAATACTGCAATTTTGTGGCCAAACATGGCAAATTATGAATTACAATTTGTACAATTATCCCATAACTTTAGTTTTAAAATTAAATACTTTTTTTTCCACCGCATTTTTGAACCCTCGTAACTCTCTAAGTGTAGGAGATGGCCACCAGTACTTCAACAGCCTGTAACTCAGAAAATATAAATAAATAAAATACAATTTAGCATAGCTTCATTAAATATGCAGAAGTTATTGGACAAAAAAAACAATTAAGGGTTAGGTGGGAACATTTTTCACATTTTTATAAACTCTATATTTACTAGCTGCAAAGTGATGTATACATTACTGCATCAATGATTAGAATCCAGTGGTTTAATAAAGACATTGTTTTAAATGCTGCTGCTCTGTGTAAATAACACTCTTTGTAGCAGCATATTTCTTATACTTAAGAGTTCTTCTTCCACCTCTGCTCTCATGCACCTGTCTGCCTCTTTTGCCTTTACATTAGTCATCGTCTATGAGTCATTCAGTGACACAGACAGTGAAAGAACTGAGCAGCACCTGCCTACTGCAAATATGTGGCTGAACTTGATACAGAACTGACAGCGAGGGCGTGACGTGTAACCTTTAATTTCACTGTATTGAAAGTGAATGAAATTTATTTGTGCTCTGTGTGGCAACTTAAATCCCAGAGATTTTGTTCTCAAATTTAAAAGTATTTTCAGGTCTGTGTGGAGGAACTTGTGGCTCCAGCTGTTAGACAAAATAAGTCCATACAGTGACAATACTGCATTCTTTATTGCATATTTATGAACCTATTAATGTACTTCCACTGCAGAACCAACTGCAGTTCTCCTATTTTCTTCTTCATGTCACAAAATCAAGAAGTTTGTGAACATCTAAATAATTAAATAATCTTAAATCATGCACCAAAGACTGAAACTGTGAAAACTCCTTTCTGCAGCAGCTGTTTAAGGGCCTATTTGCTTCCATTTAATACCAAATAACTTTTTTTTTTTTTTTTTTTTTTAAACTTTTTATGTAAACATCATAGAACCATGGCTAATGGCTTAAATGGAAAAAGATATGTACTATTTATTGTATACCCATAAATTCTGTAATTTATCTTCCTGCATGACAGTGTAGGGCACTGAGTGTGCATCTTTTTGGAAACAAAATAACAATTTAAAAAACAAACATTTTATGTCATATATTCAGGAAGAACATGTGTCTCTTTTCCTGTTGCCGTGAGTTTTTGGAGGTAAAGGAGTTTTGGAATTTTTAAAAGCCTGTAAATTGCCTTTAATATCAGCATGGCACAAATGATTGTTACTTTTGTTAATTACAAAATAAAAGTAGCACTCAGAAGCTTGCTTTACATGTAAACAAAACAAAACAAACCTGTAGAAGTTGGTGTCCACACCCCAGGAGATGCTGCAAAAAGGGGTTAAAGGTGAAAAGGACAGAGTAGAGTGCTGCTGTTTGAGAGACTTTCACTTGAAGTACTGATGTTTCCTTTGACTCTCTATGGACAACTTGGAGTGAACCTGGCAGCTGGTTTGTAGATATACAATACTGTCCATAGATTTGACTGTGTAGAAGCAAAATGTGCTGTGTATGACATGATATGTCAAACCCAAACAGTAGATGTAACTTTACGAAATTTGTCTTCTTGCATGTACAGCAGGTTAAAAATTCATTACGTTGTGATTTTTGTCACTTTTTAAAATTTGTTATTAGACTTCCTGTCCTGATGCTTCAGAAGTTTCCCTGTACATTTACTGTTTTAGTGTGTTTTTAGTCTGCCCCCTAATGCAGTGTCCCTGCATAACAGTGATGGGGGAACTTGTTTTGATGGACCATTTGCACAGAAGGACCTTTTACTTTCAGTATGTACTACAGCTGTGCTTACAAAGTATGTACTGTTGCACACAGCACCCACACAACTGGGACATACAACTTATTATTGTGCCTTAAGCTTTGACTGTCTTGCTTATACTGTATATATATCTGTCGCAGTCTGTAGATCACCTGTTGTAAACTCTTGGCAGCTCAAGCTTGTTACTCGATTAGGAAACCAAGGTGGATGTGACGCATCTTCCAAGCTTGCATACTGCAAAATACGACACAACGTAGTGAGCCATCCTGGTATGTTTGGCCTACTACACATTAAATCTTTTCTAGTTTACTATATAGCTTGGTAGTATAGATATTGGAACACAGCTTTAATGCAGCACCAAACATGTTCATCTTTGCAGGCTCCTAACTCCCACTTAATCCAACATTTAGCAAAAAAGGTGTAGCTGAAGCAGGTAATAGACAGTCCTTTGAATCACCTTTAAGTGACATCAAGTGTCATTTAAAGCAGCAACGCCCTTAATGATGCATAATTTTAAGCCTGAGTAGAATTTATGTAAAAGTTCAACCCCATACAGTTGTTATAAATGAGACCAAAATCTTTTTTTTTTATCAGACTGTGAGCATGTTTGCTTCTGCTGTAAATTTTAATATTTTTCCATGGAGGCCTATAAGGACTAACTCACTGTTGGAGCCTCTAGAGCCCGTATGGGGAACTGCAGTTTTTGGTACTTTAAGGCTAAGTAGCATGAAAAAAAGACAAAAGTGAGAGAAGCAAGAAGACAAGTTTGCATAATTAAAATATATTTATACATGTGAGGATGTAACTGCACTTTATCAACAGTGACACCATGTGGCTGCTAAGAGAACACCACTTCTGAATTAAAACAGAGAGACTTTATTACGATAAAGACATAAAAAAAGCAGATTATTAAAGAAGAGAAAGATTTCACCATAACACACACACACACACACTCGCACACACACACACACTCAGACACACTGTAGTGAATCAGTTCATCTATCAGTCCACTGATTGCCCTCTCTCTTCTGCAAGTATCCCATGATGCTTTGTGCCATGTCACCATCCAAACATGTACTCCATCGCCTTGGAGACGAAGCTGTCGTCCTTCCTCGGCGTCTGTCTGTCTGCAACCACCTGGAAGACGGAAGCAGACTTATTTACAAAGTCAACCAGCTGCAGATTTTTCTAAATTTAATAGATTTTCAGGTAGAATGAACCAAAAGGCTACCTGGTAGTCGCTGCCGGAGCTCCTGTAGCTGGCACTGAGTGGTCTGATGGCGGAGCGAGGAGTCGAAGGGAGGATGGAGGAGGAGAAGGAGGAGGAGATGGGAGAGGAGACGGCTTCACCGCTGTCCATCACACTCTGAAAGACATAAAGAGAGATAAATAATGTCACTACTCAGACTTCCAACTCACCTGATGTGCTCAATCAGAGCAGTAGAAAAGGGTACTGACCTTGTCTATGCAGGGTTTGACTCCCACCATGATGGAGTCACCAAACACTTTCCCATCTTTAGACAGAGCTTTCCTTGCCTGAAGTCTTGACTGATACTGAAGGTGCATCCAGTTGCCAGGAGACGCCATCTGTCAACGAATCATTGCATCCATCAGTGCACCAGGAACACCCGAGCTGACTGTGGAGCTTCAGGTAAACCCGGACAGTGAACACTCCGTAGTAAACAGGTGAGTGAATACGACTTCAGATTCGGCCATAAAGATGGGTTTCTAGCATGGCTTCTGTTTTGTCTGTTTTCTCTATTCTATCAAAATTCTTAGAAGATGTTTTTAGTTTTACTTTTCATTGACTAAAAACTAACAAAACTTAAATGACTTGCAAAAAAACCCCAAAAAACCAAAACAAAACACTTCATAATTACATCCATCCATCCATTATCTATACACCGCTTAATCCTCACTAGGGTTGCGGGGGGGCTGGAGCCTATCCCAACCGACTTAGGGCGAAGGCAGGGGACACACTGGACAGGTCGCCAGTCTATCCTTCATAATTACATTTCCATCAAAATACTGAAAGTCAATCAAAATCAAGTTTAAGAATGAGGAATTAAGAGTGAACATTATAGTAATGTGGGAGTCACTGAACCAAACTGATCAATTTCATCTGGAAATACAAAATAAAAATAGTAATGTAACATTGTTATGTGCTTGTCTGTCCCCACTATAATTGATATGTGGTGCTATATTGATTTTTTTGCAATTGTTTTGACTATGTTTAACTCTGTTTCTCCGTTATTGCCTCCCTGGTCTTTGTCCTTCTGCTTGGACTTCTTTAGTTTAATGGTTGTCCTGAGTATCCTTCTTTTTTCTTGCCCTGTCAGTAAAGCACGTTGTAAACTGTTTTAAAAAGCTGCTACATAAATAAGATTATTATTATCATGCGTGTTCACAGTCACACCTTCTTTTGAGGACAAAACCAAAACCATGTGACCAAACACGTATCCTGCAGTCTGAACCCTGCATGAGTCAGTGTAAAGTCTCTAAAGTGACGTGTGTTTCTTACTGTGTGTTTGAGGATATTTCCGTACTGAGCAAACTGCAGCAGGATGTAGGAAGCCGAGGCTGGAGGAAAACTACAACACACAAACACACACAGTACATGTACACACAATATATTTACAGTAAACTCAGCAGGCTTTAAGTGTGAAACGCAGAGTGTATTTTGTAGTATCAATACCCAAATACGGTGACCCATGTCTGGTCCAGCTGGTCTTCAGATGATAAAGACTCTCCCTGACTGTAGAAAGGATCCACCTGAGCAGGCGATAGACACACCTGCTGCACACCTGGACATCGAGACAGGTGAATATAATACAGTTAATCCACTCTACAGTGAGTGTGAGTGATTTTTAATCCTCTCTTCAGTAACAATTAAAGACATTAATACTCTGACCAACCAACGAAGACAAACTAATTATGTCGACAACAACGTTTTTGTAACATTTTAAATGACCGTGTAGTGTATCAACAGCAGTATTAGTATTGTTGTAAACTCACGACTAACAAACCCATCAGCAGTAGAATAGATATCAGTGTGTACCTGCTCCTGGAGATGAGGCCTGGCGTGCTGACAGAGGAGACTGCATGACTGGAAAAGCCTAAAAGACAGAAAGGGGGAGATTATTGTTATCATTTTTGTTGTGTTCACACTTTTCTTGCTTTTGTCACATTTTATCATCAACTTCTGATTCCTTCAAATACAAACTTTCTAACTTTACAATCAAACATTAAACTTTTTCCTGCCTGTATATCTAAATGTAACGCCCACTGGTCTGCATCAGACCTCATTGCGTTTACTCGTCTTCGTTCCTAGTTGGACCATTGTTTGTTTTATGTTGCCCTTGTTTGGGAACCACTGGTTTGCAATTCATCTATCTGTCTGCATGTGTTCCAGAGCCACATATGTAAACATACAGTTTAAACTGCATAAAAAGACATAAAACCATTTTTCCCCCTCACTGTCTGACATTAAATCAGACTAAATGTTTCCTGTTTTATTGCAGTTAGGATTACCAAAATATTTTCTGTTTGCTAAATGCCAGAATAATGAGACAGAATCTTTTAGAGATTTTTTTTTTTTCTCAAAGTCAAAAGTGTACATACACTGAGATTACTTTAAATTCAAACTATTTAGGAAAGCCCAGATGATGATGTCATGGCTTTGAAAGCTTTTGATAGGTTAATTGACAACATTTGAGTTAATTGGAGGCACACCTGTGGATGTATTTTAAGGCACACCTCAAACACACTGCTTCCTTTTGTGACAACACGGGAAAATCTAAAGAAATCAGCCAACATATCAGGAAGAGAACTGTGGACCTCCACAAGTCTGGTTCATCCTTGGCTACAATGCCCAGATGCCTGAAGGTCCAACATTCATCTGTTCAAACAATTATACGCATATATAACCACTATGGGAATGTCCAGCCATCATAGCGCTCAGGAAGGAGACAGGTTCTGTGTCCCAGAAATGAAGTGTTTTGGTGAGAAATGTGCGCATCAACCCCAGAAGAAAAGCTAAAGATCTTGTGAAGATGCTGCTGAAACTGGTAAGAGAGTGTCACTATTCACAGTGAAACCAGTCCTGTACTGACATGGGCTGAAAGGCTGCTCAGAGAGGAAGAAGACATCACTCCAAGAGCAACATGAAAAAGACAGATTACAGTTTGCAATTGCACACAGGGACAAAGACCTTCATTTCTGGAGACATGTCCTGTGGTCTGACAAAACTAAAACTGAACTGTTTGGCCATAATGACCATCGTTACATTTGGAGGAAAAAGGGGGAAGAGCTTGCAAGCCTGAGAGCACCATCCCAACTGTGAAGTATAGGGGTGGCAGCATCCTGTTGTGGGGGTGTTCTGCTGCAGGAGGGACTGGTGCACTTCACAAAATAGATGGCATCATGAGGAAAGAACATTATGTGGACATATTGAAGCAACACCTCAAGACATCAGCCAGGAAGTTAAAGCTTGGGCGTGAATGGGTCTTCAAATGGACAATGACCCTAAGCATATTGCCAGATGAGTTACAAAGAGGCTTCTGGACAACAAAGTTAATGTTTTAGAGTGGCCATCACAAAGCCCTGATCTAAGTCCTGTAGAAAATTTGTGGGCAGAGATGAAAAGGTGGAGCAAGGCAGCCAACAAACCTGACTCAGTCACACCAGCTCTGTCAAGAGGAATGGACCAAAATTCCAGCAAACTATTGTGAGAAGCTTATGGAAGGACACCCAAAACACTTGACCCAAGTGATACAGTTTAAAGGCAATGCTACCAAATACTAAGGAAATACATGTAAACTTTTGACTTTGAAGAAAGTAATAAAAAAAATCTCTAAAAAATTATCTCTTTAATTATTCTGGCATTTAGCAAATAGAAATAATTTTGGTAATCCTAACTGACTTAAAACAGGAAAAGTTTAGTCACATTTAATGTCAGACAGTGAGAAAAAAAAGGTTAAGTGTCTTTTAATACAGTGTATGTAAACTTATTGTTTTAACTATATATAATGATCACACACTTTCTGCAAAAATCTCTATATATACAGTGCTTAACAAATGTATTAGACCAACACCCAATGTAAGGTTCATGCCACAGTTGCCCTAAATTAACAGCAGTGGTAATTACCAAAATTATTTTTTATGTTTCTACAATGGTTAACACATCAGAATATAGAAGCTCTTTAACTGAAATGATATTTTTCATGCTAAAATATAATTAATATTGTTATCCATAAATTTTCAAATGTACTATTTTACAAAAACACTGAAGAAATTGTAAATCACACTAATATTTCTTTATGAAGATGTCAAATTATTGTTTTTTACTTGCATTCCTGAACAGAAAAGTTAGTTTTAGTGGTTGAACGTTAGACTTGATAAATTTCTGACTTCTCAGAGAAGCCCAGCGAGTCCACTCAAATTTTTTTCAGTATGAAATTCCTCATTCCTGTTCAAAATGGCAAAACGTCGAGAGCTCACTGAAAATGAAAGAGTCCACATTAACGCACTTCATAATGCTGTATGGTTTATGGGCAAATAGGGAAAGACATAACGTTGTGTACTCACAGTGTGGTCAAGTATGCTTTGGAGTTAATTGCAGAGACTGGCACCTTTTGAATACTATTTTTGTATTAGATTTTGTCTGATCTTGTAAATGCACTGACATGATTGCTGCTCAATTTCGTGGTACACTGTGCAATGACAAGAAAGAAATTTATCTCCTATCTTTTTTCTCTGTGACTTTTGAAAAAAAAGTGAGCATGCTGACTTTACATGAAAATTCATTTTCATCTGCTGTGTACTAACCTGTCTGTGTGCATTGAGCGGCGTAGCTACAGTGATCAGGTCGTCGTGGATACTGCGAACAGGCGGGGCTCCACTCTTATCTTTGGGAGTCGGGACAACGGGCTGCAGTCCGGAACCTCCTGGACCCCCTACATATATTATAAGTTTAGGATAATCAGGACACAGAATGACATATCTACAGTACAAACTTTCAGTATCAATCTGCTGATGTGCAGATGGGTGAGTACTTCCGCTGACCTCGATGTGTACTTGGGCTCTCCATGATGGGCGCAGTCAAGCTGAAGGGGCGGGGTTGTGGGCTGGCAGGAGCTGGCAGGTCACCCATCAGGAATCCAGGCAGAAACTGAGCTCCAGAGGTTGGCTTAGGAGAGGTGGGAGAACCCAGGGTCATTGGTTCACTGCCCACTGAAAACACAGGGACAGGCAATTTATTTAAACTGGTCTGAGACAAGAGGACAACATTAGGACTGGCAGCTCAAGACAGAGACAATTGGGGGTAAAGACCAGGTGTTCAAATGTTTCTAAGTTTGTATGTGGCAGGGATTATTTTGTGAAGCCGACATACTCAGATGCCACCAGATTAACTGAAAGGACTGCAGGTGTGAAAGGTGCATTATTCGCCAGATTTAAGAAAGCATGTTCATTTTGTACAGACTGCTGCAAAAATCACTTTTTTTTTCAGCGTGAAAGAAATGAATTAATAACCACACTCACTAAGATCATTGTGTGCATGATAACATCTCGCAAAATTATCGCTATGTGATTTTACTTAGATATGGAAGTACCACTAAACTTTTCTGGCATCTTTAAAAAATGCAATCCGCATTTAAATAACATCTTCTTCAATTATTGCTTTTAATATAAAAATCACTGGAACATTAAATTGATTAGCAACAGTTGTCAAACATTTTTTTTAAATATGTGATTCAATGAGTTAAGATTATTGACCCTAAAATATGAACATGTTATCATTTACAAACTAAAATATAACTGGCACCAGTATTTATCAGTACAATAATGTTCCACTTTAGGCCAACAGAGGAGCATGTCTTCTACCAGCACGATTTGCACCTTATTTTCTTCTTATTATTTTAAAGGAACACGTGTGAGCTACTGAATTCTTTAAATTTCCCCAGGGGCATTAATAAAATATCTGTTTGTCTGTCTTTACTGATAATATGTTCAGAGTCAGAAGGATAACAACTAACACCATTGTTGGGAGTTCAGGAGGAAACATGAGGCTAACCGGTTGTCAGCAGACTAATGGCTACAACTACATATAAGCTACCATGTAACTACAGAGTGCGATAAAAATAACAAAAACAGATTAAGAGTACATAAAACGTGGCTTACCTTGCAGCTCCATTCTGTTTCGTTACTTTCAGGCCGCGATTTTCAAAAGTAGGAAGTGACGCTGAGGAGAGGAGGTGGTAGCCAGCTAACGCGGCTAGCAAAGCTAACTAATCTGACACTACAACTTACTGTTACTTGAATGTACACACAACTAAAGGTACATGATATGTTAAAGTATCCAGTTAGTTAAAACTAAGATAAATAAAGTCCGTTATGAATCCGCTGCGGTTTGTTTCTAGAGCTCAGATATACCAGTGGTCTGAGACGATGTTACACTGGAAGCGCTGCAGCTCACATCCGACGCATTTAGATGACGTCACGGTGAAGCTTTATCAAGGTAGTCAAGTTTTGTATAGATTTTTTCTTACAAGACAACATTCAAGCATTTTAAAAGGCAGGGAGATATTTTCGGTGCACATTTATGTTGTGTAAAAAAAAAAAAGACAAAGAAGGAAAAAACCCCGGCATACATTCAAACTTACGCTAAGTTTACTTACAGAAAGTCTCCCATCCATATAGCACAATTAGGTACAGGAAAGAACTAAGTATTAGGGCATTCCTGTCCTTCCTACATACATAAAAATAACTTTTGCGTGTACAGGTAAATCCAAAGTATTCATACCAATTCCAATTTTTGATTTCTAATACATTTTTATTTGACAAATAGGTTTCTCCTTGCTGGTAATTACACAAACTGATGACAAAACACAGCGAGTTGTTGGCGGCGGCTCGATTGTTGACACCGTCACCTCACAGCTAGAACATCCCCGATTCGCCGGGGGTCTTTCTGTGTACAGTTTGCATGTTCTCCCTGTGCAGCGTGGGTTCTCACTGGATTCTCCGGACTCCTCCCACAGTCCATACACATGCTGAGGTTAATTGGTGATTATGAACTGTGAATGTGAGTTTGCTTATTTGTCTCTCTGTGTAACCCTGTGATAGACTGACGACCTGTACAGGGTGTCCCCTGCCATCGCCCCGAGTCGGCTGGGATGGACTCCAGCAGCCCCTGGCCGTGAACGCACCAAACGTGTCGTCATCGAAATGCGGCACATGAATTTCTGACTTCGTAAAGTCAAAATAGATAGCCAACAAAAATCACGATAATTGTTAAGCTTCTGCTTTCAAAATAAAAGCACAAGGCATGGTGAGCAAAGGGAAGGCATTTATATTGAAAAAAGAGAGCGATGATTATATGTGTATGATTGTGGGTAACTTGATGCCGGTTTGAGCCGGACTCTGATGCGGATCTTCATTTGCAGTTTCTGGAAGTTGAGACGCCTCAACGGTAACGAAGCTGCTGTATTCCTAAAACTACAGTTTTTGTAAACATTATAAGAATTGTAGCTTGAGCTTCACCAATACACTGCATACAAGATCCATGTCGCGGTGAAGCTGACGAGCTAATTAGCTTAGCAAGTTTAGTAGTTGCAGCTAAACTAGCTTAGCTTATTTTAAGGTTTTTGTGGTGAAGAAAAACACAGAAATCTGGGAAAAATTCCATTTGATTCCGAGGACACCCTGCAGTGTGAATTAACAAAGGTAAACACTCTAGTTTTTATGTACACTCCGTTTTTACTTGTCGTTATTTATGTGTGACACAGCTAGTACTGTCTGAATTGCTTTGCTGGTCATCTTTAGTTTTCCAAATATCTGAATTTTCTCAGGCCTTTTTTCAGAATGTTCTGAATGTCCATTACAATTTCTAAGTAGTGAAGATGGTAAAAAATTCTGTTCAAATATTAGATGTTGTAAACAAATCACAAATGTACAGGAATGATTTGCTTCTTGACCTGTTTTACTGCAGGATGGACAATTATGGTCTTCTGTTTGGTTACAGATCTGATCTTTTACAGGAAGCTGTGCAGGTGAAGAGACAACAACTCATTAAAAGAAAAAAAAAAACAGTGTTTATTAGGGCTATAACTACGAAATATTTTCATTGTTGATTAATCTGTTGCTTATGATTTTTTTGATGAAACTGTCCTTTATTAATTTATAAAATTGCCAAAAATTGTGAACAATATCGATTTGCGATATTCAGTTTATTTTCATTGAGAAGGAAAGACATCAGAAAATATTCACATTTAAGAAGCTGCAATCAAAGAATCAGAGACTTTTTACACAAACTGATGAACCAATCATCAGAATAGTTGGCAATTAATTGAACAGTCAACAACTAAACAGTAAACTGATTACTTGTTGCAGGTCAAGTGTTTGTTAAATGGTTTGAGCTTAGTGGACATTTTTTGGTGACGTGTTGCACATCTTTTTTTAAATAAAATGTGTCAAACATATTGTCAGATGAGGCCAGACAGCTGCTGTTGACTGACTAACTTATTGCCAAAAGTGTCTTCAAGATAGAGTTGCAACAGTTAGTTGATTTCTTGTCAACTATTAAATAATTGCCAAGTATTTTGATAACTGAGTAATCAGTCTGAGAAAGAAAGAAAAAAAGTCTAAATTTCCTGAGTCTAGCTTCTTCAAAGTAAATATTTTCTGATTTCTTTCCTCTATGACAATAAACTGAGTACCTTTAGATTGTGGACAAAACTAAAATTAAATACATTTTTCTGAAGTTTTTGACATCAGACAAATCAATAGTTGCAGCCTTGTTTTAAAAGAAAAAATGGCAAACTGCAAGGAAGCTTGTTGATATTTGCCAATCTGGCTTCACCGCAGGCATTACATGGCGATATGTAACGTAGGAAAAGCCTGGAGATGTTTCAGGCACGAAATGAGCAGCATAAGTTTGCAAACCTTTTACATACACTAAAAGGCAGCTACACAAGACTGAAGGAAAGAAGAAACATGAAAAGTAGAGTCACCAGTGGCCCTTTCAACCTTCATATGCTGCAGCATGTCTGCATACCTCATTACCTGTCATTTAAATTGCATGACAGGACTTATTATATTTAAAGGCCAAAATATAGTATTAACGATTTTCTCCTTGAACCAAAAAGAATAAGTGAAAATACAGACAGTAAACAGCAGAACAAGTTTGATAAGTTTTCGCTCAGTATGTTCAGACACAGGCAGCAAGAATACAGAAGAAAATGCAGAAAATGCTGCTCTTGCTGTTAGCTGTTAACCCAAACTGACAGCTCAGTGGGATATAAAGATGGAGGGGATGGAGGGACCCAGTTTACTGCTCCTCCAGCTGCTCTAAGCCAATCCACACGAGCCACATAGGCAGAGTGGACACACGAACAAAGCAGCCCACAGACCAACTAAAACAATTGCGACAGGGGTTGTAATACGGAGTGTTGGCTGTTCAGTTATGATGTTTGTATTCCTTGCTTTAAGAATCAGTTGTTTGCCCATGATGCTGTTAACGTAGCCCAACTGTGGGACGCCAACGGCTGCAGGGTTGGGTGGACTGTTTGTCTAATCTGTCTTCTTCACACAGCTATAAACCAGGTAGCTCTGACTTGCCACTGCACAGCCTGAAGGAATAATCTTTGTGCGTTCCTGTTCCAGCTGCTCTGGTTGTAGCTGCTTGCTGTGGTTGTACTGGGAGGACTGGTGATGGGGTGCAGGGTCGTCCTCGGGGTCCGGCGGCAGCATCTCGTCCAGCTTTTGCTGCCACTGCTGCTCCTTCTCTTCCTGGTGGCGGCAGTTTTAGCAGACGGTCGAGATTATTACGATCTGCTGGGAGTTAGCAGGGAGGCGACGACCAGAGAGATCCGACAGGCCTTTAAGAAGCTGGCGCTGACCATGCACCCCGACAAAAACCCTGTGAGTTACTCTGAGGGGGCAGAATACAGAAACATTGACGAAATAGACTTGTGACAGTAATGAAAAATGCTTAAAATTAATTGTTGCACATAATAGATAAATGTCTAATGTGGGCGACTGAAATGAATTGATAAATAGTTGAAACTATTTGCTAATACTAGTAGGTAAATGCTTGAAATAGTTTATGAACATTAATGGATAAGTGGTTAATATAGACAGATAAAATTAATTGTGTAGTCGTATAAATGCAAGCCTGGCTAAACCAACCTAAACACTGACAGTTAAATTGTCCCTTAGATAAAACCGATTCACCTACATATAATTAATGATATTAAACAACATCTTGTTTTTTTCCCTGAACTCTGAAACCCACTGATGGGGTTGAAATCACCAAAATATCACCATTTATCAGAGCCAGAAGCTGACAAAATTGCAGGATTTCCAGCTTTCTGACGGCCCTTGAAGGGATCACATTTGACCAAACCTAAGCTTGAAATTGTGATATTTCATCAAAAAGATGATATTCTACATATCTCTTTTCAAAACTTGCAAAAAACAAATTGTTTGCACCAGATTCTGTAATAATCAATAAATTCTACACTCCTGAGAAACTGAGAAACTATGTCTGTCCAACAGTCATGTGACAAGACTTCAGAAACCTTTTGGCTGAACTGCGGGCTGTGTATACACAAAGAGAAAAAAGAGAGAGAAAATCAAACATACTTGATCAATATAATAAAAGCAGCATGGCTCAAAATGGGACACATCTCATTTAAGCACTTGCCAAAACACCTGCAAAAATATTAACCCTACGTGGTGCTACCCTTAAGCCATGACAAAAATTATGTTTCAGGGCGACCCCTCAGCCCACGAGAAGTTCCTGGAGGTCAATCGAGCCTACGAAGTTCTGAAGGACGAAGACCTGAGAAAGAAATACGATAAATATGGAGAAAAGGGTTTGGACGAGCAGCAGGGAGGAGGTTATGAGAGCTGGAACTTCTACAGATACGACTTTGGTGAGTCCACGATGATGCTACAACAGCAGCACCTTTGTTTTGTTTGAATGGAAGCCATGATATGACATGAAAATGTATTTTTTAATTTCAGCAGCTGATCATGCTGTAAAGAAGTTAGCATCGAGCTGTATAATATTTAAATGTGTCCGTTTGTGCAGGTATCTATGACGATGATTTGGAGATCATCACATTGGACAGCGGAGACTTTGGTAAGAGTTTTGCTTGTAGCTGTTTCCAAAATGGCATTTAAAATTTAAAATTTACGTGCATTTTAAGTTATATTTGTGTTTGAATTGTGCAAAAGATAAAATATGTACTCTGTAAAATATTCTCCATCTGCTGGATGCCTTAAATTCTTATGTTTCCTGTGAGAAAACAGGTTGTCTCTGTTATAGAGGTTTTACAATTCTGTATGAAATTTCTGAGGATAAAATCTACCATTTTAAAATATTTGTTGGTAGAGATAATGTGTAGTACTGAAAAGATAAATAGAAACCTATGATTCTGTTAATATTTGCCCTGACAGTACTGATATAGTAAAAATA